AAGCAGGAAATAATGGCTTCTGGTCTGAATTACTCAAACAGAGCTTCAAGTTGTCCAGGCTGAAGGCTGGGGTTGCAGCAGCAACCTGAAATCTACCCCCCACTGCCTCCAGCAGGAAGGAACCAGCCAGGATGTCCCCAACTTAGGCTATGGTGGACAGTGACAGTCACAGCAAGGTTCAGTTTGGTTGAGGCGTTTAAGAAAACCCTCAGTGATGGGATCAAACACAGTATGTGCAAAGTACGGTTTTTAACTGTTAAGATGCCTTATTATTTAGATTTGCAAACTGCCTGTCTGTGAATGCAGCACTTCCCAACACCTCCTTACGTCTATTATTTTTTTCAGAGAAGCAGTTACAGGAATCTTTCCTTGCCTCAGAACATGCCCATCTGACAGCCCTTGGAGCAACAATGACAATCCACACAGCAAAGCCTTTGCATTTGCCTCCTTGGGAAAGGCAGCGGTGCTGCAGATGCTACAGCACCTAAGCACCACTCCCCATTTTATTTTTGAGCGTTTGTTTTCCTTGGTATGGCCACAGGCCATCTGCAGACATTGTTCATGACACAGCATTAGAAATGATAAAGAAACACTGGGAAATAGCACAGACAAGGGCGGGGGACGGAATTCACGCTAACAGCACCTTTTAGATAAAATGAGATGTTTTTCCCATGATACTTTGTGCAATTCACTGCTAAAATGCAGCTCCATGCAAACAGAGTTTATGACCCATTCCCCAATTGCTACACTTGGTGTGGACTTTTGTACGCCACAGACTAGAATTTGAGTTAAATCAGGGAAGGATTCCCCACATAAGCAGCTTCATATACCCACTTTGTGGAAACTTATTGGCGGATTCCCTAGTACAGCTGGCTGATTTGTTACTAGAACCATGTTGCAGAATATTTGTACACTGTGAAGATGTGTCTTGCCAAGGCGATTTCTGATTGGTTTAATAAAGAGCTGAATGGTCAATAGCTAGGCAGGATTTCTGGGGGGAGAGAGGAAGAGGAAAGAGAATCTAGGAGGTGCCAGGCAGATGCTGAAGAGGTTGGACGTATGGTGCAGAGTAGAGGCAACCATGACAAGCAGCAGAGTATAGATTAATAAAAGCAGGTTAATTTAAGTTAAGAGCCAGTGAGAGAAGCCTAAGTTAATGGCCAAGCTTTCATAATTAATAACAAGTCTCAGTGTCATTATTTGGGGGGCTGGTGATTCAAAGAAAGTCTGACTACAGAACCAAAATGTTTCAGGTTTATATATTCTGACAACAAGTGTAAAACTCCCATAGTACGCAATTACTGTGAAATCTATACAGAGAATTAAAAAACAAGAAGAAACCCCATAGACTAGGTCAACAATGCCTTCAAAACCTGTCAGAACTCTCTACTGCTGATCCTTGTCTATATTATCGGCATCACTCTCCTGAGGAACTACTGAGCATCCATCATGTACCATTCCATAGAGGGGAACAGACTTCTCTAAGAAAACTTGGATCTATTGGGGTTATACCCATCTAACTCCTCAGCTAATCAGGGGCTCCTCTAGAAACGCCTCGTATGATGAGGGAGGATGAGAGGCCCAAGGGATTTACATTACATTACCTGCTCATGTACTGCTTTTCCCAGGCTCTGCTGTCTTGATCCTGAATTAATGAGCGTGTTATACGATATCTAATAAAAACGGCTAGAGTAGAGATATTGTTTGGAATGTGCCACATAGTTGGTTCAAGGCTAAATCGATTTCATCTCTAGTTAACACATGCTTGTTTTCTGTCTCTCTTGTCTCTCCACAACCCATAGCTCATTTTTTTAACCCCATCTGGGAAACTTATCTCCTAAAACGCCCCCATCAATCAGCCAAAGACACTCTTCCTGACGGGGCATCTGCCAGTTTTTCTGAGCACAAGCAGTCGCTGGTTTGGGGGATGCCTCCCACACTCCCTAGAGCTGTGTGTTTTTCTAGCCTGCTTAACCACCCAAGTACAATTTGGGATATTTATACTCCCCCCTGCCCCCAGTTTCTATTGAGATAATAGCACTACTTTCCGAGAATTGAGCACAGGGCATAGCAGGGGTCGCCACGGAATAGAAGCTGAAGCTGCTGCTTGTCTACACACTTAACACTATTTCTTCGGGTTCTTATGTTTCCACTTGTTTGGTTCACTTTGTCTCAGTGTCTGCTCCCCAAGTGTGAAAATCGGATGCTTGCAAGGACACATACTCTTTGTCCTGGAAGCCTTTGCTGACAACTGACACCACTTCCATTCTGCAGACCTTTATATCCAGCCGCTAAACTTAAACTGCACAGAGTGAAAGGAGAGAGAGGAGAGACAGAGAGAGAAAGAGAGAGAGAGAGAGAGAGAGAGAGAGAGAGAGAGAGAGAGAGGACTGCAGAAGCGAAGAAGCCCCAGTGAAAGGGAAGTAACAACTGAAAGAGGAGTCAGGCAGTCCCGGCTCCTACAAAGTTCCGGTTGTGAACACACACCCGCTGGCCACAGCACGGGAGTGTTGCGCGTGGGCACAGGTGGGTCCCAGGCTCTCTGGCTGGATGCAGCTTCAGCACTGAGCCTGAATAAAGACTTTCATTGCTGTGTGTTGTTTTTGTTGGCCCATAGCCATGACAAACATTTGCAGGTGGCTTGGCCAGATTTTGACACTTAAATATTTGAGGTTGTGATAAAAATCAGAATATTACTACAATATGGTTCTGTATGCTCATGCATGTCTACATGCACGCGCATCTCTCTCTCTCTTTCTCTCTCTCTCTCTCTCTCTCTCTCTCTCTCACACACACACATACATGCTTGAATTTTTAAAGAGCTATCTGCAATTTCAAATGCTCATTTGCAGACATCTCCCAGGGGAACTCAAGCTTTAGAATGAGCACTCATTTCCTCTTTGCTGAGGGAAATAGAAGAGCCAACCATCCCCAAATGTTACCACCTAAGGTTCCATACTCAATCTGCTGGTAAGAAGGGCAGGGCTGGGGCCTGCTGAGCCTCATGGCCATCTGGGCAAGGCTTTGGATGGATCACAGGGAGACACAGTGTAAGTGACAGGAAGGATGTGGGGGTTTTGAATCAACATAGTAAGCCCGATAGGGAAGGATCTGGAAAAAAGGAATAGCCTCGCTCAAGCTGGGCAATGAAGACAGAATCCTAAAAGTAACAATTATCTCCTAGAACACACCAGGAGAGACACACAATGCCTCCAAGAAGCAGAGTCGGGGGCAAAGTGACACAGCCTACAAATGCCACCCAAAATGTACAGTTCAGGGCCAACCGGGTAAATTATTGACAGAGTCAATATCCATCTTAAAATTTAGTGCTAGCCTTAAAAGGATTGCTTCATAAAACCCAGTGCTGCGTTAACAATGGGGAACACAAAGGGCCTCAGAGAGGGCTGTGGGCAAGGGGACAAGGGCCAGGCAAGGGGCTGCAGGGGGGGAGGAATGCTGTAAAACTGCTAGTAAACTCTTGCACATTTTATGCTTCTCCCCCAACCCCCATTGAAAGAAAAATAAAATGATTATAATTAGCTTGCCCAGCTGTGAACTATCTGCCCACAGCCAGGGCCCAAGTGAGAAGGAGTCCCTTGAGACTTGGATGCCGTCATGCATGAAGCCACGTCACCCTCCTAAACCCTTGCAGTTTAGAGATAGTGCCAATACTTGCTTTCCAAGTCACTTGAGTAGACCTCTTTATCGGAGGTACTTGCTACAGTGACGCCAGCTTCTTTAAGCAGAAGGAACCCCAACGGCCCCACTCACTGTCCTTGTTCTGACTGAGCCGCCAAGCACACCCATGACAAACGGGAGGGTCATTACTATAGCTCTGGTTTCAGTAGGTGTCCTTCTGATGAACTGAGACACCCGAGATGCTGTTCCCTATTCTAGAGCACTTGAGAAGGAGTAAGCCACGACTGTTTCCTGTGCCCACTGGTGGTCTCGGAGAAGAGACGCATGGAAAATTTGTAAGGAAGCATCTAAATTTGTGTCGGTCACCACAGCCAGGGGGAGAATTCAGACTGCACCCTGATGTATGCACCCACCACAGGAAGTTCCCCTTCTGGTTTCAGCAGACAGTTCTGGGGACACAGGGCAGCCAGTTGTCAGCATCCAGCAGTGTTACACTTTAGAAGCCAGTGCCTCTCCTCCCTAAGAGCCCACATGCTTCTCCATCTTGCATTTCATCTTAACTCTTTAGAGGTTGGAAAGAACACACACACTCTGTCCTCATTCTGGAGACGTGGAAGGTGGGGGAATTCTGCATTTCTAAGAAGCTGTTGGGTAATGTCCACATTGGTGATGGTCAAACCACACTCTGCGTGGCAAGGGGCTGGACCAGTCACATGACATGAAGAAGCAAGAGCAAATTCCATCACATGATATGAGTGCCAAGATACTTCTCCCAGTGTCTCACAATGTTGCAATATTGTCTTATTCCATAAATAAGAGGGAAGGGGCTTGCTTCCATTGTTTTGTCAATTTCAGGAATAAATGAGGGCCAGTGAGGAGGCGGGGGGGCGGGGGGGCTGATGAGAAAGAAATAACAAGAAAGAGATGTAGGGAAGAAAGACCAGAGGGAAAGGCAGCTATGAAATAAACAGGTGGCCTCCCAAGCAGCTTCAAAACTCCCAGGAAGGAGAGGGGGCCCACTGTAAGAAGGAGACTGGGCTGGCAGAACTTGCCTCTGTTAGCACTAAGCATTTGTCCCAAGCACCTTTCTGTGGTCTGCATAATACCTACTATTTTTGCCTGCCATTCACTAATCTTATTTGAAGAAATTAGGTCACAGAATGAACAGTTTCCCCATCCAGGATTAAAAGTGTTCACACCAAATGGAGACTCTTTCTCCATCCTCTCATCAAAAGCATAGCTCTGTCCTCTCGGCAGCATCATATGGGACAGGAAAAACAACAGACCCAAGTCCCAGAAACAGGGAGGATATTCAAAACGTTGCCTGAGCTCCCCCAGAGACAACGAGGAAGTCTCCTTACCCGATCTGGCGGTTGGTGGAGGGAGCCTGCGTGATGACTGAGCTGGATTGGGGCGATGGCATGGCTTGCTGAATCACAACACTGGTGTCGTGGTTGGGCATCCGTGTGCTGCCTAGTGGGTGAGTTCCAGGCCCCGTCATGGTCCCACCAACTGCGTTATGCATGGAGATATTCTGCCCAGAGAAGACACAGGAGAAAGATCAGAAGGGGCCAATGCTCCATCTACTCCCCAGCCCTCCATGGCCAAAGCTGGAAATCTGCTCATGCCACCTAACTAGGGTTATGGCTTCTGGCAAGGTGTGGATTCATTGGTCTTGTTAGAACTTAATAGTTACGAGGAGATAAAAAAAATAATAAATGATTACTTACCCAAAGAGTAAAGCACAAAAGGAAATGCTTTGGCATTTCCTGAGCACACTGCCATCCTGAAGGAAGGCTCACACAGTGGAGGGGGAGGAAGACTGGGATATACCCTATCTGACTGGATGATACACACTGCAGAAGAAAATGGTAAGCACAGAATGCTGTCACCTGGTGGATTTAGTTCTTCCTGCTTTGTGTAGCTCTGCACCAGCTTGCTTCCCTTGTGCTCAGTACTACAGCACTTCAGACATGTATCTTCTTTTTCAGGAAACTAATTCTTCCCTAGATTCTAACCTGGGTGCTGAACAAGCAGTGTAGTGTGGAAGGATCTTTCTGATAGATCAAATTGGGGCACTGGGAGACCAGTGACAATGATAACACTTGCAACATATGGCTGTGTCTCTATGAAGTCACCCTCTGACTACCATATGAGATAATGGAACACAGAGAAATGATCTTGTCCTCTAGACTATGGGATGGTGCTGTGTGGGTCAGAGTGGTCCTTCAACAAATGGCATTGCCTAGATGAACTAAAGAAGGGATACATACATGATCTGAACCACAAAACAGACTACTGTCATGCACTGATATCAAATGACTCCGATGGAAGTTTGAAGTTCAGAAACAAGCTAAAGTACAATTGGGTTAAGTAATTGTAGTAGGTGAACAACAAGATAGAATGCACACCAAGGCAGAAGAGGGTTGAACAAGGCACCTCAGCTGAGATGTGACAGAGTCAGACCTAGCAAAAGAAAAGAATGTACATGGCCATCCCACTAACAGTCAAGAGTCTGAGGCAGAGTCCTGTGCAGGCAGGTAGCCTCCTTCAGTCTGGAAGGGCAGGGGGACTACCAGAGGTCAGTTGGACAGTAGGTTGAAGACGGGGTGGGGGCGGAGGGGAGAAATGGAGTGCCACTTGCAATTCGCCTGAGGGAGAAAGGAGGGTATATATCTGTCCACACTTTGGTGTTAGCAAGGGAAACAAAATCAGTGTTACCCAGGAGGCTGTGAGGTGGCCCTTCAAATTTCTTCTGCAAAGAGCAGGATTTCCTGCACTATGTGTTAACTGATGGTGATAACATGTAAGGCATTGGGGGTGGCTGCACCCATCACATGGCACCTTTCCCGAGTTTCTGATTTCTGAGCCCTGACCACACAATTTGTAAGGAGTCCAGATGGAAAACGGGCACCTGGCTCAGACAGAGAGCTGACTGTGTCATCACAGAATCCCAGAGGCATTTTATGTATATGCACATGGCTCAAAGGCCCCTCTTAAACACTGAGAGGTTTTCCTGGCATGGGGAAATACTGTGCCTGGGGAAAGGGAAATGGTACACACACACACACACACACACACACACACACACACACACACACACACACACCATATGGCCCAAAGGCCCCTCTTATACACTGGGAGGTTTTCCTGCCATGGGGACATGGGGAAAACCTGTGTCCGGGCAAAGGGAAAAGGTGTCTAGAGTCTTGTGGCCATGCAAGCAGAAGTTTTATGTATTTTCCTTTATAGGATCCAAAGACTTCAAGAGCCTTTAAAATAATGATGGAAATAAAGATCGCATGTTATTCTTCTGAAAAGCAAACCTCAACACCATTATGTTCCCAGCTACAGAACATTGTGTGGGTAATCTTTTGTGTTGCTTATCTCCTCAGTGATACTAAAATAATTTCCATATTTCTTATAATCATCTATATTTCAATAATAGGTCCAAAGCCTAGAAGAATTCGGACTCTTTTTTATAATTGTTTTCATTGTGTATCACTAAAGCTATAGGATACGATGTTTAGAACCACATCTTTACATGCACAGAAGAGAATATGAAATGTGTGAAGTCTCATTGAGTTACCCAGGATGCCTCTTTTCTGTCATGCTAAGATGCAGCTTCAAATTCCTCCAGTTTACTCCAAGCATCTTTCTTCTTTCTTTCTATATTCCCATTCCTTTTCCCAGCAGCCTCTACCTAATCATTGCCATCCCCTGCCCTGTCATGGGACACTTCTGATTTTCTTCACTCTTTCTGGCTCTTCCCCCTCCTCCTTCCCGAAGTATTTGCACTGAGAGCTCTTCAAAATGCATAACCCACCACACTGAACACAGGGCAATGTGTATCCCCACCCCAAGTCGTTCATTGCATGGCTTCTTGACATTGAAATATGCCAACAACGTTGTTTGTGACCTCCACAACCGTGGAGGGACCTTCCCACCAAGCAATCCATCCAATCCAGGCTTCACTCTAGTTCTTGGTGCCTCCTCCCACCTTTCTAGAATTCTCCTGCCTACAGTCTGATCTTACACTTTGCCAGTACCAGGCCTTGTAATATGATTTTTGCTTGCTTGTTTGTTTGTTTTGGTTTGTTTTTGACACCAGTGCCCTTGTTCGAACTTCACCTTCAGATCTCAGACTGGCCATTCCATGGGAAGCCTTCCATACTTCCTTAGTGATGGGAACTACTTCCTTTATAGGGATTTTCATAAGATGATAGCTGTGTTTAATTCTACAGTCATTAGCCATGTCTGCCCTCATTTGTAATCACAGTGAGAGTAGAAACTCAGTCTGATCTGGCTCCCCACTGTGACTCCATTACCACACCACAGGTGAGTGCCTACTGAGCCACTGGATAGTGTTCCCAGTATTTTCAGATGTTGAGGCTTTAGTCCCTGGTCAACTTCTGAGAGCTCTAACACCTCATCTGCTCACCTGGAGCCTGGAATCATGCTGACAGCAATAGGACTTTGAGCTTTAGGGAACTTGTTCAAGTGTGGGCTCAAGAAGTGAAGGAGACCAGAACCAAGAAGAAACCTTGAAAGGAAAATCTCTGAAGCCTGCTCAGAGCATCCTGAGGGGTAAGCATCTGATCCTTGAATGCTTTGTTAAAATGACCAACAGCCTTCTTTACATCTGTGTACAAACCAAGGAAGAGTACACTCTGGCTGTGCCACGAGGAGCTTGGTTGACTTTTGTGAGCACACAGCGTGTCAAATTAGAGAAAGAAGTTTCACCCCAAGATGCCAAAACTTAAAAGCCTTTTCGGAGAATCATTAAAGAGAAAATAATTATTATCTAGGAATAAGTCTTATATCCTCCCCTGACAAAAATTTTTAAAAGTCTCTGAGGTCTCTACAAGATGATTCCTGAATTATACTTTCACCCTTTCATAATTTCCCAACATACACTCATAAAATCTGCATGCTATCTAGCTTTTTCCCCCTAGACCCAGAGCATGATTTTAAAACATTTTGGAAAAATAAACAATCTGGCAAAAGTATTCCCATTTCACATTTAGAGAAGGTGACTGTTTTCTTTAAGCCTTACACAGGAATTCAACATGAAATTATTTTCTGAGTTCACACTGTCTCAATTATGGATTCAAAACCTGTCCTTATTGATAAAAGCCTAGCGTTTTACATCCAGATAAATTCAACATCCAATTTCAAAAACACAAGGAGCATATTATCTTGCTGAGTTATTTTTGATTGTGCAGGTGGGTAGATTTGAAGCAAGAGAAACAATGTCACCAAAGAGATGACATTGGATGGATGTCAGTATGCAGACAAAGATCAGATGTGTGCACTGAAGTTAGGCCTTTGGCCTTTTCTTGTTCGACATCTTTATCAACAGTTTGGATGGAGATATAAAAATCGTGCTTGTCAAATCTGCAGCTGACACAAAGTTGGGAGACACAGCTAATGGTCTGGAAAGCAGAATCAGGTTTTTCTTTGAGCCAACTGTGTGATCTGGCTTCCAAAAATGCTAACATAAATCTAGGTTGTTTTAGAAGTGAAGCATCCTGATCAGGGGAAGTGATTATTCCACAGTAGGGTATGTTGGCCTGACCACATTTGGCCACCACATTTTAAGGGGGAAATTGACAAATAGGAGGGAATAAGAGTAATGAATGTATTCAAAATGCATTGCAGGAAGAATGGCCGAGGAACCAGGGAATATTTAGTCTGAAGAGGGAAGACCTAAAGGGTCATGGTAAATGCCTTCAAATATTTGCAGGATTAGACACAGTCTGCATTGCTCCAGAGGGCATAATTACAGATCATGGAATCATGATGCTAAGAAGCCAATCATAACTATATTGGAGCAGGCACTGTGGTAGATACTTTATAAACCACATCTCTCATCCTTATAGTGATTCTACATGGTGGGGCATCATTGCTTTCATTTCAAGAAGAGAAAGAAAGCAAAAGTCACCATCACCTGTGGAGCCAATGACCTCTGAACCCCTCAGTCCTATGGGTCAAAATTTCAACACTATAAAATTGACCTTATGTCATAATAATTTTATTAGCATGCAGAGATACCCAAAGACAAAATAAAACATTCTGTAAAATGCCCAGCTCCCTGCATCTGGAGTAAGACAGTATGAATTTCCATCACCCATGATCCGGATGTTCAGAACAGGATTCTTGCATCAGGAGGGAGAGAATACAGGATGACTTCTGGATCTCTCCCATGGACAAGGCACCTTCATTTACATAGGTCATACTTGGGTTGACATGTTTTAGGTGATCAAGTACACATACTACTTTGGAAATTCTATTGGTATGAGAGTTAGTGCACTTCCCTTATCCCAATCTCCCTCACTGGTACCCAGTAGCCATGGGATCTAGATAAATCACGCAGCAACCTCATGGTCAATACCCTCAACATTAGACAAGGGTATGGTAGCTCGGAACTACATGGTCTAGCATATTCCTCCAGAATTTCAAGGCCCAAAGGGAGGACGATGTCAAAAATAATTTAACTTTTTCCTTCTTTGGCTAACATTTCTCTGCTTATTC